AAGGGACGCCCCCCCCCCCGGCACCCATCAGGATGCAAGCACTGCTCTGCAATTATCCGGCGCGGGCCCTGTGTCCTGTGGCACTGCTTCCGTCCACGGTGTCACGGTGACGGTGTGTGTGTCACTGTGAGGGTGTGTGTGTCACTGTGACGGTGTGTGTGTCACTGTGACGGTGTGTGTGTCACGGTGACGGTGTGTGTGTCACTGTGACGGCGTGTGTGTTACGGTGACGGTGTGACAGTGATGTTAGGGTGATAGTGACGGTGCACCCTGGTGGTGTGTACACATACTGGTGTTACTGTGGTGGTGGCTGACCACACTGGGGCTCACCGCTCACTGGGGTGCACGACAACAGCTGTAGCGTCGCACACAGTTGTAAAAAACTGCCATAGACGTCATTAAAGGCAAGTCCCTAGAAGCTGTCAACCAGGTAACTCATGCGAGTGATCCGGAACACCATTGTCTATAGCCTAGGGAGCCGGTCGGCCGAGCGGACAGCACGCTGGACTTGGACGGGGGTCAGCCCAAGTGATTTACTTTTAAGAAATATCGGCGGTTGTAGAGACCCCCATTATTCCCCCCCCCCCCCTGTACTATTTTCATGATCAAGTCTAAAATATTGATTTTATTTCCCACACAGTTGTTCAGCACTGTCAGTGCGTCATAATAACATATTTTCTGAGACTGGGGTGAGGGGTAGGGAGGAGGAGGAGGGAGGGAGGGAAGATTAAGGAAAAATAGGGGGCCGAGGGCAAGAATGGGGGAAGGGGTGGGGGGGGGGTAGAGGGGTGTGGAGGGAAGGAAGCGACCCACCCTTGTACCCCACCTAGTCACATGTAGACAAATATACAAGTCACAGTTTCGTACTCTACAAGTCACAGTTTCGTACTCTACAAGTCACAGTTTCGTACTCTATAAGTCACAGTCTCGTACTCTACAAGTCACAGTTTCGTACTCTACAAGTCAGTTTCGTACTCTACAAGTCACAGTTTCGTACTCTACAAGTCACAGTTTCGTACTCTACAAGTCACAGTTTCGTACTCTACAAGTTACAGTTTCGTGCTTTCGTACTCCAGTGCCAGCACAGAAATGTCAACTCAGACTAAGACAAAACGGAAGACTTGGAGACGTTCAGTAACTCACCAGCTCTATAGTTGGTATAGCTGTAACCCTCCGAGACAGCCCCTCCCCCCCCCTAACCAAAATTCATCCATCCACAGATCACTAGTATTAGCCATTGGTAATGGCTCCAAAACGCCTCCACTTACTGGCTATTCATGCCCGTGCCACCTTTTGGGTGGCTTAATCTTTATCAATCAATCAATCACAGTTTCGTGTTATCCTTTGAGGACGATACAAAAGTCAGCATAAAGATTACTTCTGTAGAAGACATTCAACAACGTAAGCTGATATCAATAACGTCTTCGAATGGGCAAGAAAAGTAACGTTGTTTAACAGTGATACATTCCAAATACTCAGGTATGGTAACAAATGAAGAGCTTAAGCAGGTTACAGGGTACAAGGCACGACCATAATCTCCTCACAGAAGGAAACTTAACATGTAAATGCTCTGGGAATAAGAATGATGTGAGACGACCTAACGTTTAGTGAGTACGACCAAGCAAATACTGCGTCAGCCAGGAAAATTATAGCGTGGAATACGAGAACCGTCACATCCAGGGATCCCATCACTATGTAACTCACCTGTTCTGCCGCCCCTCCTTGAGTACTGCTCGGTACTCACTCCACTTTCACAGCCGAGGATTGTTGACATAGAGGGAATATAATGTGTGTGTGCAAACCACGAAAAAATTACCACGTGATGAACAATGTCAAACCGCGAAGGAAGGATTAAGACTGGAATTTCCTAAATTCCAGTCTTTAAAGATTAAGACAGGAATTTCCTATAAGTGCGTTCGTATTTATTAATGCATCGTGAGAAGGAGGCATTTACAGTGTAGTGTGATGGATATGATAGTGTGATATATCCATCACACTACACTGTAAATCCCTCCTTCTCACGATGCAGGAAAGAGGTGAGGTGAGATACAGGGTCTTTAGTGAGCAAAGGGGATATTAATAACCATTTTTGATTGATCAGTTAAAGGGCGATTTAAGTAGGATCATTGATACACTAATACCTAATCGATATCTCCTTTTCTCGTCCAAGACATTGTACCTCACCTCACCTTTTTCCTGCCAATATATCCATCCCACTACATTGTAAATCCTTACGGGCTATTCATGCCCGTGCCACCTTTTGAGTGGCTTAATCTTCATCAATCTGTAAATCTATCCTTCTGAAGATGTATTAATAAATACGAAAGTGCTTAAGGAAATTCCTGTCTTAATTCCTCCTTCGTGGTTTGACATTGTTCATCACGTTAATTTCTTCGTGATTTACACACACACAAACATATATATATATATATATATATATATATATATATATATATATATATATATATATATATATATATATATATATATATATATATATATATATATATATATTGGCATGCAGGTCCCAAATGTGTGAAGTAAAGCAACACAGGGCACCGAGCAACATGGTGAGTGGTCTTATCTTGAGGTTATCTTGAGATGATTTCGGGGCTTTAGTGTCCCCGCGGCCCGGTCCTCGACCAGGCTTCCACCCCCAGGAAGCAGCCCGTGACAGCTGACTAACACCCAGGTACCTATTTTACTGCTAGGTAACAGGGGCATAGGGTTACCTTACCTTGAGGTTACCTTGAGGTCCTTCCGGGGCTTAGCGTCCCCGCGGCCCGGTCGTCGACCAGGCCTCCTGGTTGCTGGACTGATCAACCAGGCTGTTGGACGCGGCTGCTCGCAGCCTGACGTATGAGTCACAGCCTGGTTGATCAGGTATCCTTTGGAGGTGCTTATCCAGTTCTCTCTTGAACACTGTGAGGGGTCGGCCAGTTATGCCCCTTATGTGTAGTGGAAGCGTGTTGAACAGTCTCGGACCTCTGATGTTGATAGAGTTCTCTCTCAGAGTACAAGTTGCACCTCTGTTTTTCAACGGGGGTATTCTGCACATCCTGCCATGTCTTCTGGTTTCATGTGATGCAGGGTGAAAGAAACTCTGCCCATTGTTTCTCGCCGGCGCCCGGGATCGAACCCAGGACCACAGGATCACAAGTTCAGCGTGCTGTCCGCTCGGCCGACCGGCTCCCAGGTGGTGATGCAGGCACCATCACCACACTCAGACACCACACCAGGCTACGTTGGGGCCTCGTAGCCTGGTGGATAGCGCGCAGGACTCGTAATTCTGTGGCGCGGGTTCGATTCCCGCACGAGGCAGAAACAAATGGGCAAAAGTTTCTTTCACCCTGAATGCCTCTGTTACCTAACAGTAAATAGGTACCTGGGAGTTAGTCAGCTGTCACGGGCTGCTTCCTGGGGGTGGAGGCCTGGTCGAGGACCGGGCCGCGGGGACACTAAAGCCCCGAAATAATCTCAAGATAACCTCAAGATAACCATCAGAGGTCTGCTCCCACAACCGTGACAAATATTGCCGGAACCAGAGTGGACGTCTTCAAGATAACAACAGAGACGTTACAGCCAGAAGTGCCAAACCAACCAGGCTGTGGAGGATATGTGAGCCTGCGGGCTGCGTCAAGCAACAGCCTGTTGGACCAAGTTATCGCAAGTCAAGCCTGGCACAAAAAAAAATCAAGCCTGGCCTCGGGCTGGGCTTGAGGGCGGAGGGGTCGGAGGAGGGAAGGGAAAGTAGAGGAAAGGAAAGTTGGTTAGAGATGAGGACCTAAGGTTGGGGAGGGGGTGGATAATGGGGACTGAAATGGGGAGGGGGTGTTTATGGGGGGGAAGGGGGAGGGGGTGTTTAGGGGGGGGGCGGTTCCGCACGGCCAGATGAACGACCACTCAAAAACCTGCCACCTGGGTCCCCCGTCTGGGAAAAGAAACGCGGATCCTTTCCTGTTTGTCTTCCATTGTACACCAGCCTGCCTGTGTACACCAGCCTGCCTGTGTACACCAGCCTGTCTGTGTACACAGACAGAGTTACACAAGTATTATCATAACAGGAGGATGGGACATTCCCTGTCTACACCTGGGGAGCCGGTCGGCCGAGTGGACAGCACGCTCGACTTGTGATCCTGTGGTCCTGGGTTCGATCCCAGGCGCCGGCGAGAAACAATGGGCAGAGTTTCTTTCACCCTATGCTCCTGTTACCTAGCAGTAAAATAGGTACCTGGGTGTTAGTCAGCTGTCACGGGCTGCTTCCTGGGGGTGGAGGCCTGGTCGAGGACCGGGCCGCGGGGACACTAAAAAGCCCCGAAATCATCTCAAGATAACCTCAAGATAACCTGTCTATCCAGTCTCCGTGCTCCACCCTGTGATGAGCTGTGTTGCTGTGTACACACACACAAGGTCTCGCCAGTGTTCCATCCCCTCTGTGGGTTAGTAAGTCAAGGTTGCTCAGCGTGGTGAAGGTGTTTCGTTTTTCTGGTAGTAATGATATTATGAGTACGTATCAGATATACCTAGGCGTTATGTATGTATGTACTCACCTAGTTGTGCTTGCGGGGGTTAAGCTCTGGCTCTTTGGTCCCGCCTCTCAACCGTCAATCAACTGGTGTACAGGTTCCTGAGCCTACTGGGCTCTATCATATCTACATTTGAAACTGTGTATGGAGTCAGCCTCCACCACATCACTGCCTAATGCATTCCATCTGTTAACTACTCTGACACTGAAAAAGTTCTTTCTAACGTGTCTGTGGCTCATTTAGGTCTCCGCCTGTGTCCCCTTGTTCGCTGTATGTACCACCCGTGTGGTACATGGGTGGTACATACAGGCATGTATATATATGTACGTATGTGTGTATTTGTGTACTTGGTTATGGTAGGCATAACGTAGCTGTGGTTGAACCACCTGGAAGGTGTATCAGGTGGCGGGTGTTGAAATGCAGGAGACATGAATTAAGTGAAAGTAATTACCGTGTGTGTTGTGTCTGTTGCAGGTCTGCGAGTGAACCGTGTACACGTCCACACGGGGATAACGGAAGGGGGAGGAGGAGGAGGAGGAGGAGAGACAACCGCCACCTGCTCATCGCCGTCGTCAGGCCCCGTCTCGCCGTAAACTAAGAGACGGGAGGTTACAGCGAGTTGCTGGTTCTGTCAACCAGCGTTGACGGAACCTCCACCCCACGAGACAGTACACCGCCAAGAGCCCTGAGGTGTTGATCAACGAACCCAACCACCTTAAAAAAAAGAAGAAAAAATAATAAAGACAAAAAAAAAGAGGAAAACCAAACACATTTAAGTGAAGGAGCAGACACCGGCCAGGCGAAGGTTTGGTCGCCACTGTCAACAACTAAGGCTGTTTGGGAGCGTCTTGAGAGAATAATTCCCTGCTGCGTCCCCGGGTGTCTCCCCCCACCACACCAAACGAACCTACGAGCCGCCCCTTCGACGAACTTGTGCAGGTCACAAGCCACAAATACACTCACAAGTCTACACGAGGAACCTCGCCACCGACGACCTCAATCTGGGCCACATCCCGCATCATGGACTCGTGGTCACGCCGCAAGGCGGGTGTGGCGCGGGCCGTCGAGGGTGTGGTGAAGCGACGGAAGCACGTGGTCCTGGTGGGTCTAGACGGGTCTGGCAAGACCACAGTACTCACCAGACTCAAGTACCGCTGCTATGTGGCCACCACTCCCACCATTGGTTTCAACCACGAGAAGGTAGGCTCTAAATGGGACCTTCTCGTAGCCTGGTACTGTAGCCTAGTATACACCTTGAACGCTTTCAATTTCCTCAAGTTTGGTACCAACTATTCTTTAATTTCTTCTAGTTTTTATAACTTCTTTTAAATTTACTCTGGTTTGGTAATAACTTTTTTTTTAATTTCCACTAGTTTGGTTAATAACTATTTTAACATTTCCCCTAGTTTGGTTCTAACTATTTTTAAATTTAATTGTTTCGTTTTAACTAGTTTAAAATTTCATTTAGTTTGGTTCTAACTATTTTTAAATTTCTTCTAGATTGGTTATAAGTATTTTTCGAGTTCCTCTAGTTTGGTTCTAACTATAGGTCACTGATTCTGTAAAAACTACTAATAGCTGTATAATGTTGAGTAACTCCGCAGGTCTCCTTATTAAGCAAGATGTCAGCCATTTCTTGCTCAAGTGAAATTATTTATTGTGTCATTTATCAGCAACTTAACTTATGTGTCTGAGTGCATGTTTCACTCATGCACCTGTGTTACTCCCCCCCCCCCCCCACCCGTGTCCTTATAATTCCTGCACTCACAAGCTTTCACTCCGTGGCCACCACTCCCGCGGGCTGACCACTCTCCCTCTCCACACATGACTGACCTGACCTCCCTACCTTCACACACACACACACACACACACACTCTCTCTCTCTCTCTCTCTCTCTCTCTCTCTCTCTCTCTCTCTCTCTCTCTCTCTCTCTCTCTCTCTCTCTCTCTCTCTCTCTCTCTCTCTGAAATATATATAATAGTTGAGTGATGTACTGAAGAGTCCATGTTGTCAGGTGTGGGGCGGAGGGTTCCGGTGGTCGTGTTGGGACGTGGGCGGCGGTGAGCGTCTCCGGCCGCTGTGGTCGTCCTACACCCGCGCCACCGACGGCATCGTCTTCGTCGTCGACTCCGCCTCCCTGGGCGACATGATGGAGGAAGCCAGGGTCGAGTTGGCCAGAGTCCTCAAGGTGAGAGAAGACCTCCAACACTTGTTAAACAAAAGTCTACCTTTTGCACGGTTTACAGAATACACATCTTTGGTCTCGTAGTTTACCGCAAGTGTTATTATACCTCGACTTGATGACCAACGCCGTCTTGGCAGCAGGACTGGTTCTCTAGTCCTCTTAGCCTCGACCCTCTGGAACCGGTTCTTGAGGACGCATAATCCCGGAAAAACAGGCTTGGGTGTGTCATCCCGCAGGCTTAGGCCAGCGGGTGGAACACAGTCTTGAGACGACTGGCACCTCGTCACCTCCAGGACCGGCTGGGGGGGGGGGGTATACACTTGTCGCAGGTTGCTGTTGCATAGGTGTTGAGAGGTGGGGCTGAGCGCGGGTGTGTTGTTGGTGCTCATCTGTAGTTAGGGGGGGGGGATGTGGGGTGACAACTTGGGTGAAGTTGGTGTTTATAGCTATGTTGTAGAATTATAGTGTTTGTTAGGTGTAGTGTCATGGCTAGGACGCCTTAGGGTGTAGTGGAGCATAGCTTTGGCATAGTTACGGTGGAATGGTATAGCTAGGCGGTAGTTAGGGGTGTAGTGTCATAGCTGGGTAATAGTTAGCGTGTAGTGTCAACTAGGACGTAGTTAGGGATGTCATAGCTGGGATGTAGTTATGGTGTAGTGTCATAGCTAGGGTGTAGTCTAGCTAGCTAGGGTGATAGGCTAACTAGCTAGGGTAATAGGCTAACTAGCTAGGGTGATAGGCTAACTAGCTAGGGTGATAAGCTAGCTAGGGTGATAGGCTAACTAGCTAGGGTGATAAGCTAGCTAGGGTGATAGGCTAACTATATCTCACTGATATAGTTAGCTATACTAATAATATGCTAATAAAACTACTAATAGTTGTATAATGTTGAGTAACTCCGCAGGTGTCCATATTAAGCAAGATGTCAGCCATTTCTTGTTCAAGTGAAATTATTTAACGTGTCATTTCCCCCCCACCCCACCAACACACGTGACCTCCCACCAACACACGTGACCTCCCACCAACACACGTGACCTCCCACCAACACACGTGACATCCCACCAACACACGTGACCTCCCACCAACACACGTGACCTCCCACCAACACACGTGACCTCCCACCAACACACGTGACCTCCCACCAACACACGTGACCTCCCACCAACACACGTGACCTCCCACCAACACACGTGACCTCCCACCAACACACGTGACCTCCCACCAACACACGTGACCTCCCACCAACACACGTGACCTCCCACCAACACACGTGACCTCCCACCAACACACGTGACCTCCCACCAACACACGTGACCTCCCACCAACACACGTGACCTCCCACCAACACACGTGACCTCCCACCAACACACGTGACCTCCCACCAACACACGTGACCTCCCACCAACACACGTGACCTCCCACCAACACACGTGACCTCCCACCAACACACGTGACCTCCCACCAACACACGTGACCTCCCACCAACACACGTGACCTCCCACCAACACACGTGACCTCCCACCAACACACGTGACCTCCCACCAACACACGTGACCTCCCACCAACACACGTGACCTCCCACCAACACACGTGACCTCCCACCAACACACGTGACCTCCCAGTAACATCAGGGAGGTGGACCAACAGGAGTAGCAAACCCAGAGAACAAGGTCAAGATGGAGTCCTGCCCAGACAAACACGCTTACAAGACAAACATCTTTGGAGCTGGAGTGTGGGTTCCAGGCTCCGTCTGTAGAGAAGAGCTAGACTAAGGCGCGTCTGGGAGTCTCTCAGATGTAGGTTCGAACCCTCATCACGGCCCTTGTGGATGTGTTCACGAGAAGAGCTAGGCTTAACCCGGTTAACATTTGGGGTTTACGCCTTATTCTCTGTGATGATATGGAAAATTGGTTTACTGAGAATTATATAAAATATATATAAATGCCTGTAAATTTTCCCTTGTAAATTGGTGTAAATATGATCAAATATTAAGAGACTGAAATGGGCTCGAACTTGTGTACCCGGTGGAGGAGGCCTGATGAGATGAGACATGTTGGGGTGAGTGTAGTAATGTTGTTGTTGTTGTTTAAGGTCTGCTACTTGGAACAAAACGTTGCAAGCAGCACGGACTATGGTGAGGCCGTAGTTGTAGTAATGTGTCCGTGTCTCTCCCCCATACAGAAGTCGCGCGCCTCCTCCGTCCAGCTGAGCGTCCCAACACCGCCTCTCCTCGTCCTGGCAAACTTCCAGGTCAGTCCTCCAGCCTCGCCACGCTCCCTCACACAGCTGGCCACGGAGAGGGAGGGGGAGGGGGAGGGGGAGGGGGAGGGGGAGGGAGAGGAGAGGAGAGGGAGGGGGAGGGAATTATGAGGGGAAAACACCAAGCCATTACGACTATATAGCACTGGGAAGGGGTCAGGATAAGGATTTGGGATGGGGCGGAGGGAAGGATTGGTGCCCAACCACTTGGACGGTCGGGGATTGAACGCCGACCTGCATGAAGCGAGACCATCGCTTTACCGTCCAGTCCAAGTGGTTGGGTAGAAAGAGAGAAAAGGTGCGTACTCACCTAGTTGTGCTTGCGGGGATTGAGCTTTGGCTCTTTGGTCCTCTCAACCATCAATCAATTGGTGTAAAGATTCCTGAGGTTCTCGAGCTCTTGTCATATCTACATTTGAAACTGTGTATGGAGTCTGTCTCCACCACATCACTGCCTAATAAATTCCATTTACTAACTACTCTGTCAGAAAAAAGTTCTTTCTAATGTCTCTGTGGTTCATTTGGGTATTCGACTTCCACCTGTGTCCCCTTGTCCGTGTACCACCCGTGTTAAATAATCCATCCTTGTCTACTCTGTCAATTCCCCTGAGAATTTTGTACGTGGTGATCATATCTCCCCGAGCTCTTCTGTCTTCCAGCGACGTGAGGTGCATGCAGTTCCCTCAGCCTTTCCTCGTAACTCATGCCTCTTAGTTCTGGGACTAGCCTAGTGGCATACCTCTGAACTTTTTCCAGCTTCGTCTGGAAAAAGATGAGTACTTACTCAGATGTACTCACTTAGATATGCTAGCGGGGTTGAGGTAGGCTCCTGGCCCCGCCTTCCGAACGTTTTTAGAGTAATACAATGAGTCTTTTCTCACGTTTTCATCATATTTGATTTGAAACTTTTGCATCAAGTATTAAGTTTAACGACTTCTGCGCCCAACCTGTTCCACTTACTGACAGCTCTAACACTGAACAAGTTCTTTCTGACGTCTGTCACTCATTTGCATGATAAATGACTTAACTAGCGCGTCAGGAGTGGGAATACCGAACCTCAGAATGATAATACCTCGTTATAAGCTTCCTTGTATCACCCTCCTGGAGGACCAGCACGACCGAGAGCCGCTTGGCCGAGCGGACAGCACGCTGGACTTGTGATCCTGGGTTCGATCCCAGGCGCCGGCGAGAAACAATGAGCAGAGTTTCTTTCACCCTATGCCCCTGTTACCTAGCAGTAAAATAGGTACCTGGGTGTTAGTCAGCTGTCACGGGCTGCTTCCTGGGGGTGGAGGCCTGGTCGAGGACCGGGCCGCGGGGACACTAAAAAGCCCCGAAATCATCTCAAGATAACCTCAAGATAACCACACTACCAACACCTCTCACAAGTCTGACTGATCAAGAACATAGAGAGAGAGAGAGAGAGAGAGAGAGAGAGAGAGAGAGAGAGAGAGAGAGGAGAGAGAGGAGAGAAGAGAGAGAGAGAGAGAGAGAGAGAGAGAGAGAGAGGAATGATACACAAGGAGACATGCAAAGTTTCTCCCCCCCCCTTCTCTCTCATGTCTTACATACGTCTGATAAAGTTATTGAAATTTAGGATGAGTGACATGTCCTTTTCAGCTGCTGTAGGAGTGGGCATAGGACTCCGCCTGCCCCCATGTCTTGGCCACCACCCTTGTCCTTGGGGAAGGGCGCATTGCTACAGGAGGGAGGGAGGGATGATCTGAAGGGTAACGGGTCCTGTGGATAGCTGGGGGGGGGGAGTCACTCTGGGAGTGCTCAAGGTGGGGGCAGATAGGTGAGTGGATTGTCAGTGGGTGTATGGGAGTAGGGAGTGGGTGATGGTGGAGTAGGTGGGTGATTATAGAGTGGGTGGTGGTGGTGGGCAGACGGGCGGGGCGTGTGTGTGGCGGTGGGCGGATGTGGCAGAGACGGGGTTGATATATAGGATAATGTGAGTGCCTTCAGTACACACACGCCATGACAGGACGTAGGGCATGTTGGGGGCACCTCCTGCCGCCCCACTCTCCCGCCCCTCTACGTGCTGTAGAGGGCGGGTGTGGGCGGCGCTGTAGAGGGCGGGTGTGAGGCGGTGCTGTAGAGGGCGGGTGTGGGCGGCGCTGTAGAGGACGGGTGTGGGCGGTGCTGTAGAGGGCGGGTGTGGGCGGCGCTGTAGAGGGCGGGTGTGAGGCGGTGCTGTAGAGGGCGGGGTGTGAGGCGGTGCTGTACAGGGCGGGTGTGGGCGGTGCTGTAGAGGGCGGGTGTGGGCGGTGCTGTGGAGGGCGGGGTGTGGGCGGCGCTGTAGAGGGCGGGGTGTGGGCGGTGCTGTAGAGGGCGGGTGTGGGCGGTGCTGTAGAGGGCGGGTGTGGGCGGTGCTGTAGAGGGCGGGTGTGGGCGGCGCTGTAGAGGGCGGGGTGTGGGCGGCGCTGTAGAGGGCGGGGTGTGGGCGGTGCTGTAGAGGGCGGGGTGTGGGCGGCGCTGTAGAGGGCGGGTGTGGGCGGCGCTGTAGAGGGCGGGGTGTGGGCGGTGCTGTAGAGGGCGGGTGTGGCGGCGCTGTAGAGGGCGGGGTGTGGGCGGCGCTGTAGAGGGCGGGTGTGGGCGGCGCTGTAGAGGGCGGGTGTGGGCGGCGCTGTAGAGGGCGGGTGTGGGCGGTGCTGTAGAGGGCGGGTGTGGGCGGTGCACTTGATCTGTCAGCACCATTATACAAGTGTGGGGAAGGTTCATGGGTGACTCAGGAATATGCAGGAGAGTAGGTGGTGGTGGTGGTGGCACAACCACCACCACCACCCACCACCACAATTAGGCTGTTACAACAGTCACTTGTCCTCCACCAACACCACTATAACAACCACCTACCTGGTTGATGGGGTTCTGGGAGTTCTTCTACTCCCTAAGCCCGGCCCGAGGCCAGGCTTGACTTGTGAGAGTTTGGTCCACCAGGCTGTTGCTTGGAGCGGCCCGCAGGCCCACATACCCACCACAGCCCGGTTGGTCCGGCACTCCTTGGAGGAAACAATCTAGTTTCCTCTTGAAAATGTCCACGGTTGTTCCGGCAATATTTCTTATGCTCGCTGGGAGGATGTTGAACAACCGTGGACCTCTGATGTTTATACAGTGTTCTCTGATTTGCCTATGGCACCTCTGCTCTTCACTGGTTCTCTTCTGCATTTTCTTCCATATCGTTCACTCAAGTACGTTGTTATTTTACTGAATAGATTTGGTACTTGGCCCTCCAGTATCTTCCAGGTGTATATTATTTGATGTCTCTCTCGTCTTCTTTCTAGTGAGTACATTTGGAGGGCTTTGAGACGATCCCAATAATTTAGGTGCTTTATCTCGTCTATGCGTGCCGTATATGTTCTCTGTATTTCCTCCCTCCCTCTATTTCAGCAATCTCTCCTGCTCTGAAGGGGGAAGTGAGTACTGAGCAGTAGTCAAGACGGGACAACACAAGTGACTTGAAGAGTACAACCATTGTGATGGGATCCCTGGATTTGAAAGTTCTCGTAATCCATCCGATCATTTTTCTGGCTGTCGCAATATTTTCTTGGTTATGCTCCTTAAACGTTAGGTCGTCGGACATCATTATTCCCAAATCCTGGACATGCTGTTTTTCTACTATGGGTACATTTGATTGTGTTTTGTACCCTGTATTATGTTTAAGGCCCTCATTTTTACCGTACCTGAGTACCTGGAATTTATCACTGTTAAACATCATGTTATTTTCTGATGCCCAGTCGAAAACTTTATTAATATCAGCTTGAAGTTTTTCAATGTCATCAGCCGAGGTAATTTTCATACTGATTTTTGTGTCATCTGCAAAGGATGATACGAAGCTGTGACTTGTATTTTTGTCTATATCTGATATGAGAATAAGGAAAAGCAGTGGTGCAAGGACTGTACCCTGAGGTACAGAGCTTTTAACTGCGCTCGGACTCGATTTTATCTGGTTGACTGTTACTCTTTGTGTTCTGTTCGACAGAAAACTTGAGTATCCAGCGTCCAACTTTACCGGTTATTCCCATTGACCTCATTTTGTGTGCTATCACGCCATGGTCACATTTATCGAAAGCCTTTGCGAAGTCCGTGTATATCACATCAGCATTTTGTTTTTCTTCTAATGCCTCAGTGACTTTGTCGTAGTGCTCAAGTAGCTGTGAGAGGCACGATCTTCCCGCTCGAAATCCATGTTGGCCTGGGTTGTGAAGGTCATTGGTCTCCATGAAACTGGTGACCTGACTCCTAATCACTCTCTCAAATACTTTTATGATGTGTGACGTTAGTGCAAGTGGTCTATAATTCTTTGCCAATGCTTTGCTCCCTCCCTTGTGTAGAGGGGGTCTGGCCCTAGCTTCGGTGCGGGGCAGACGTGTTGAATCGGCGCTCCAGCAGTTTGGTGTTGTTTGCCCGTTTCGGCCGGTTGGGGGCGGGTGTGTGTCTGCTCGCCTGTGCTGACGTGGCGTTACGATGGGGGTCCCTCTACCCCCAGTCGTCCGGGCTCAGTCTGTGGGACTAGAGTTCTCTGTGCGGGCTGGTTACCCGGAGATTGCCCTGGCTTGTGAACTGCTCTCTGTCCCTGTGTTTGCGATTTATGGGGTCGAGTTGGTAACGGCCCGTAGGGCCATTGTGAAGTTTGCAGAGGAGGCGGCGTATCGCGATTTTCTCCGGCGATACGAGGGGCGGACACTGCCCCTGCCGGATGGTGCGGGCACTGTCACCCTCTCGGATAGAAGTGGTGCACTTACTTACATCAGTGTGCATGGGGCTCCCTTGGAGTTTCCAGAGGCTCTGCTACGGCGGTATTTCGGGCGGTTTGGCGCAGTTGTTAGTGTGAGAGTGAACGTGGTGTCTTCTAGTCCTCTTAAGGGTGTGAGGTCTAACATTCGCACCCTGGGCATGAGACTCCGGGCGGATATTCCGTCCTCTGTGCGCCTTATGGGGTACAACGTTCGGGTGTTTTACGCCCGTCAGCCGCGGACGTGTTATCGTTG